GGTCATCGGTGTGTAGTACTCTAAGATCCTATTTGGGAGGGATTAAATTTTTCTACAGTAAATCAATTCTCATTTTCAACCACACATTCTTCAATAAAATAATATTTTCCATCACATCAATAATTTTTTTTCTTTTTCAACTACACATTTCCCGTCATATCACTATTCAAAATCAATTCTTTCCCCAAAAATCTCTCCCAAACAAGCTCTAAGTGTCGCTTCCACTAAAATTTCTCCATTGCTTCTGCTCATTTCTCTCTCTTCGCTTCCTTCTCTGAAATTCAAATAGATGGAAAAAATTTCAGGTTACTTTTCAATTTTCTGGATTTCCTTAGTTAAAATCTGATTTTGAGAATGTTACAATTTTTGGGTGATGCCGACGATGGTGGCAGTAACGATGACCGGTGGTGTTGGCTGTGATGATTTTCAAGGGGTGGGATGGGTTGCGTTGGTGAAGGTGATGAACTGCGGTAGCTCTTTTATATTTTTTATATTTTTATTGAATTTTTTTAAATTATTTTATATTAAAATTACAAAATTACCAATTTGCCCATTAATATATTTGGTCAAAATCAGTTACGTTGATCAACAAATGATTGAATCCAATCACTTGGACTTCAAGTTCGAATTTTTGAAAGGTTTGGTATAGTAGGTGGGTGGGTGGCACAAATGAAAATTTTGGATTAAGTTTGCAACAAAGTGAAATATTTGATACTGTGACTGCAATTATCCCACAATTGAATTTATAAATAGATAAAAAAAAAAGTGTTAGATAAATATAGTTTTGAGTCAATTGAAATTGCTGAAGTTGGACCTAACTTTGATTGGATTTTGGTGGATTACTTAAAGTGGGCTTTGAAGAAATCAAAATATAGACCAATAAATGATTTCGACGTTTTTTTCGCTAGTTGCGCACCAAGCTCTTGCTCAAGTGCTCAAAGCAAGGAGCCTGCGCTCTCTCACCGCCAACCCGCTACTCGAGCGGTGGGTACGTCGCTTGCTCAACGTTAGACTGGCTCTCAAGCGTAGCTGTATTCATACCGAAGATTGTTTTCTTTATTCCACACTTTTTTTTTTAATGTTCTTTCCATCTTTGACACTATAAGTAGGGTTTGACAATGTATTCCATATAAGTCCATGCCAAACATTTTTTGTTATTTAGCAGAAGATATATGACTTTGATGAGATATGAATGATCAATATATACTCGTGCACTTGTGTGAAAAGGATAGTATTGATATGTAAGTTTAATATGTGTAATTATCTTTCTCTTTTGATTCAATATTTCATGAAATATAATGGAGGAAGACATCTTCTCTATTGGATAATCATTTAAGTTAATTTGAGCATGGGACATACTCTGTTTTTATAATCATAATTCGTAATCTTATTATAATTTATCTTTCCGAGTCAAAATTTGCCTTTAGTGATGTCTCTTGAATTCCGATTAGTTTAGAACTTGTGAGTATGTAATTCGATAGCAACTTTGGAGAATATGAATCTTTTTAAAAGATAAGCTCCCCTACGTCTTTACAAGAATAAATATCTACGAACGTGTGCACGCACATGTATGAAAGATGAATTTCTTGAAAATTTACATATACTTATTTTTAACATTAAACAACTAATGTGCAACTCATGTTCAACCCGCTAGTTTTCATTAAAAAATGCTTAGTTTTAGAAGTAAATCTAACTAACATTATCTTTTATACACAAAACAAACAATTCTCTTATTAATTTTTAAAGCTTAGCCAAACATGAACTTGATCATCAACCTTTTATTGCTATGCACATTTTTTGCTCAACACGAATGTTTGTTTAATCACCACTCGACCTTCACGCTACCAATTTTTGTAGCAAATAATGATACGTAGAATAAATGATGTTTAGCACTAATTTAGGTGATATTAAAGCTCGATATTCAATTTAGTGAGTTAAAATGCATTTTCTTCATTTCACAATGAATCAATGGATTCCACTGTTAGCTAACTTAGTAATAAGCATCATTAGTGTAACATAAGAGTATTAGAGCATCTTCATGACGCTCTATATTTTTAAGAGTGTATTGTACAATTTAGAGAGTAAAAAATCTTAAATACTCCAACGGACTCTTTATTTTTAACATTTAATCTTATTACTCTCAAAAAATATTTATTATTTTTCTATCTTTAATTTTCATTAGTTTTCCTCCAAATTATTACTACCTCCGTTCTATAAAGAGAGACTTAGTTTCATTTTTAATCTAAATTATATGTCACTTTCCTTATTGAAAGTATAAATATTTTTTACTTATATAATATACACATATTTAAATTGAAATATTTTGAATGCATTTAATTATAGAGACTAAATATTTTTGAAGAGTCTTGAAAATAATATTAGTTTTTATTTTTCAATTTGAGCTAGCATCTAGAAATTCGAAAAGAGATGATTTCATGAAGATGATATAACTATTTAAAGTTCAAATAGAGATTTGGATTTTTTTTTTTTTTTATATTATGGACTGTGCTGTGTGTACAGAAACACACGTACACAAGGCACAGAAGTAATACTGAACAGACGTAGCAGCTGGGGTGGGTGGGTTCATTTTTGCAATATTATATTCACTGTAGGACCCACACTTTGTGAGATTTTTGGAAAACTTCTGTGAAACAGTTTTCTTTACGCCTGAAATTTTCCTATAACTTTTAGCC